AAAAAAATTTATATTTATTTTTTAAAATTAAATTGATTAAATTTGTATGCTTAAATATTTTTCATATATGGTGAAAAGTACCAAAAACACCTTAAAAAATCTAGGAACTATTAAAAAAATTTATATAAAAGTTTTTTGGGTTGAATTTTTTAATTATACTCACTCTCGTAATTGATTTTTAATTTTTAAATCTAACAACCAAACTTAAATTTTTTGAATTTGGTTTGGTTTAATTTTTAATTAAGAAAATTGAAAACCTAGTCAAATCCTACACATTAGTTATGGTTTTGATCAGTTTCAAATTATTTTTGGTTGCAGACTTTTCCACCCACCGTTACCCTCCACCTATTTATCAGCGTGGCTTCAACTAATTTGCGTATCAAGTTGAGTAATCCTTTTGTTAATTAAGTAATCCTTTCCTTTAATTAAACTTTAACATGTCCACTATTGCATTGCATCACTCTTGAAATTTTCTAATTCACGTGTGATTTTGAATTGTAATCAATACTGGACTTTATAAGTTGTGCAGAATTATATCTCATCAAAATATTGATACAATAATTTCATTTTAGCGTTCAATTAATTAGTCTTCCAAATTCTACCACTATATAAGGATTTTCATTCGCAGGATCTTTAAATTTGAATCTCAATTTCAATCTGAAGAAAAAGGAAGCAGTACTTGCCATGGGAATTCTTGAAAGGTTTTGGCTGGTCATCCTTATTGCAGCACCGTTAGCAGCAATTGTAGCAGAACCAGCTCCTATTGCAAAACCTGATTGTCAAGATAAATGTGGTGACGTAAGTATTCCATATCCATTCGGTACAAGAGAAGGATGCTACTACAATGAAGATTTTCTCATAAGTTGCAATGACACTTCTAGTCCCCCATTAGCATTTTTAGATAATAGTACTATCAATGTCATCAACATAACTCTTGAAGGGAGGGTGCAGATAATGAACCTTATAGCCCGAGATTGCTATGATAAGTTGGGTAATCAAATTACCGTCAGCGGTGGCAGTAACCGTACCGGGCTCCGATTGAATTTTAACAGTATTTATACTATCTCTGACAATGAAAATATGTTTCTTGCCGTTGGCTGTGATACGGGAGCGGAAGTAACAGGTTTCGTCCAAGGCGATAGAAGATACACTGCAGGTTGCAAAACCATATGTGACAGAATTGATTATGTAGCCAATGACACATGTTCTAGCATCGGCTGTTGCCAGATATCCATTGCCAAAGGAATGAGCTACATGGATATAACAGTGAGGAGCTACCAAAGTCATAAAAAAGTTTGGACATTCAACCCTTGCAGCTATGGCTTCGTCGTGGAACAAAGTCAGCTCGACTTTTCTCCAAAATTGCTTCGCGAATTGCAAAATGTTAGTAAACTCCCTATGGTGCTTGATTGGTCAATTCGGGACGAGAACGATAAATGTGGTAAAACTGAAAAGGCAAAAGCATGCCAAGGAAACAGCACTTGCGTTCCTGTTGATGATAATGGATATCGATGCAAGTGCTTAGACGGTTATGAAGGAAATCCATACCTACCTAGTGGTTGCCAAGGTAACCCATTTATACTCACGCTGTGTTTCATGAAAGTCAAAATAATAGTTCTTGTTCTGATAGTTTTCATTCTTTTTGCAGACAGAGATGAGTGTTCACCCCCTAATCGCAATCCTTGTAAAGGAGGTATGATCTGCACTAATACAGAAGGAAATTATACATGTTCGTGCCCCAAAGGTTACCATCATGTTGTAATAAACGATGAACAAGGTTGTGTTACTGTTCGGCGTAAGTGGAATCTACTCCTTGGAGGCAAGTACACATATTTTATTCCACTTCCAAGTAGTCATATCCAACATACTTCTGCATTTTTTTTTTTAATATTTCAACTTCATATTTTTATTGTCTGCCCTGTTTTTTGTTTTAAGTAATCAAAACAGCTCTTGAGCCTATTCTAAATATCCATTTTACTTCACCCAATAATTACTAAAAGTAGAATGTCCACTGAACAATTTAGTTTCCTCTAAGGCGAACACTTTTTTCTTTTTGATAGAAATAGAGATATTATTTAAATAAAGTTGATATTATATCAGTATAATCTCTATAATGTGGCATTGTAGCCAAAAAAACTGAAACACAACTTGCAGCACTAGTTATAGATTTAAACCATATTTATAATGAATCTAAACAATTAAGTAAAGAGGACCATTTCTATAAGAGGGAACACTTTTAAAAATATGGTGATTTGCTATTTAGATTAGATAGAGGAGTCCTCCTCTAATATTAAGGCGTTATATAGCCTAATGACTAATGTCTTATAGTTTGATATAGTCTAAACTACAAAACACTTTTTCTTTTAACTTTTTACTTCCCATTTTAGCCAAAACATGTATGTTAATTCACACTAAAGGGTACACGCCTTGTGAACCACACCTAAGCAAGTCAAGCTAACCACTGTGCTCACCCTCATGGTTCGACAAATATTTAAATATAAATAATACTGTGTTGTACCGAGAGGACTCTTAGGATGCCAACTGAAATGATTTGGAGATTGTCCCAACTCACATTAAAGGCACAGGCATATTCTCATACCTAAAGGGAACTATTGGGATACCAATTAAACGATTTGGGCTAACCTCCCCACTAACAAAATATTAGTAATAGCTGATTATTTATATATTAGACATACTTACACTTCTTTTAAATGAGAGCATGACAACATTACAATGCATACCTCTACAATTCAATACCTATCCTTTGTCATCAATAGACCTTTCACTAGTAGGGATGGCAATTTCCTCCACGATATGTGGAGCTTTGCGGAGATCCTCACTATGGAGATGGAGGCATTTTTTTCCCCGTGAATTTTTTCCATGCTGTTGGAAACCATGAGGATATATATAAAATAAAAAAAAATATAAAGTTATTTATATATATTTTAAATATATTAACAATTAATTTTTACTTACCCAATCTAATTAGCAAACCTAATACTAATACAACCTAAATCTCACAACCCATTTTTTTTTTCAATTTTCCCAAACCCAATTGTCAAGTCTAACACATTCTTTTTGTCAATCTAGTCTTCCTAAACCTAATTGCCTAGTCCAATTTGCATTGGTAACCCTAGAAGGACTATCCAAAGATTTCAATTCCAGATTTGCAATTCCTCCTCTCTAGTCTCCTTTGTGGCTTTGCACTGTAACTCTATTTCTACTCCTCAATCCTCATCTATGATTCCAGTCAAGCTCTCACTATCATTACCCATTGTGCAACCACTATAATGTTGATTTTCTCCCATTTCTCACTCACACTTGACTCGATAACTTTTTTCCAATCTCTCAACTAGTCGCTAATAACTTGTCTCTTTTATGCCATTTTCTTAATGAACTTATTGCTGGACATGTGTGGCAACAATTTATGCATATTTTTTCTATGAACTTTGCTGATGACAATTGTAGTTTATGCTCTTTTTTTTAATGAACCTTTTGTTGGATTTGTTAGGCTTATATGGCAGTTTATGCCTTTTTACTTTATGAACTTGTTGGACTTGCTTGACATGTATATATTGACTGTGTATATTTACTGTTTGTTTCTTGTTTCAAATTTTTACTTTATATGATTATTTGAGCTAGTTTTATTTGATGAATATGGAAACTAGTGGAGTCTAAGCAGACTTAGGTTGAGTTTAATTTTGATTAACAAGCAGTGAAGCAAGTAATAGTTTTATTTGGCGAGGATTCTGAATACTTGTGGGGATCTATCATTCCTCACAGATATAAGGACAGAGGCTATTTTTGAATCTCTGTCAAAAATCCCCGTGAGGATCTTCATACCGGCCATTGGCGGGGATGGAGAAGGAGAGGGGGTCCCCACCCCCGTGGGGAACCGTTGCCATCCCTATTCACTAGCATCTATAGAATAAACTGGTAGTGTATGTGAATCCCACCAGAATGCTACACCAATCTAAACAAAGGAACTCCATGAACCTAGAAGTCTAGAACCTAGCTCATCAATTAACAAATGGTACCTTTAATTGATTAAAAAGCCCCCTAACTGCCACAAAACTTTATCTACTTCCTCAAATAAAGTCAAACATTTAATCCAGCCACTATACCTGAATATCTCCTTCCAAAACTAGTATATGCTAGATTGTACTCATCCAAAGCTTATGTTTCATGCCCACGGTGGGTAATCTCGATCATATTTTGTAGCCTATCACAAATTCTATCTCCTAGTAGCCAACAATCATAAGAAGGGAGGTTTGTTCTTCCCAACTTCAATACTATCACCATCTTTTTCACCTAAAGATCTTTCTTAAAGATCATATATGCACAATTCTGTACTTCTATTTATTTATTTATTTGGTTATTTTATTTCATTTAATTTCAAATTTTCTAACCATAAAAGTCAAGATAATCAAGTTTTGACATACATGTATATCTCTTGCTTAAATTATCCATTTAATCTCTCTTGATATCTGCAGGTTGCCTAGGGTTTGGAGTAGCATGTTTATTTACTATTGGTACATGGCAGTCATACAAAATCTTAAAGAAGAGAAGGAAAATGAAGCTTCAAAGGCAATTCTTCAAACAAAATGGAGGTTTATTATTGCAGCAACAATTGTCTTCAACTATGGGTAATATTGAAAAGACTAAAATATTTAGTATCAAGGAGTTGGAGAAGGCAACTAACTATTTCAATGGGAATAGAATACTTGGTCAGGGAGGCCAAGGAACAGTTTATAAAGGAATGTTGGTTGATGGAAGAATTATTGCGGTTAAGAAGTCTAAAGGACTAGATAAAGCTAAAGTTAAAGAGTTCATTAATGAGGTGGTCATTCTTACACAGATAAATCATAGAAACATTGTTAAATTATTAGGGTGTTGTTTAGAGACTGAAGTTCCTTTGCTAGTTTATGAATTCATCCCCAATGGGACACTTTTTCAGTACATACATGATGAAAATGAGGACTTCCCATTAACTTGGGAAAGACGTGTAACAATTGCAGCAGAAGTTGCAGGTGCACTGTCTTACTTGCACTCATCAGCCTCCATTCCCATTTACCATCGAGATGTCAAGTCCTCAAATATTCTACTTGATGAAAAGTACAAAGCAAAAGTTTCAGACTTTGGGACTTCAAGATTAATTTCCATTGATCAAACTCATTTGACCACAAATGTGAAGGGCACATTTGGGTACTTGGACCCTGAATATTTCCAATCAAGTCAATTTACAGAAAAGAGTGATGTTTACAGCTTTGGAGTTGTCCTTGTTGAACTCTTAACTGGACAGAAACCAATTTCTTTAACAGAGGTTGAGGAAGCAAGAGGTTTGGCCGCTCATTTCATTCTTTCAATGGAACAGAACAATCTCTTTAATATTCTTGATCCTCGAGTTAAGGAGAGTTCAGACCTTGAAGAGATAACAAAGGTTGCTAAACTTGCATATCAATGCTTGAGCTTGAGCGGTAAAAAGCGGCCAAGGATGATAGAAGTTGCCGTGGAGTTGGAGCAAATTTATCTTTTGCAAAACAAGTCAAATGGCCAACAAAATCATGAAAAGACTAGTTATGTAAAAATTGAAGCGACCAACCAATGGGATGGTGCCTCCACAAGTACTTTGTCATTAGACATAGAGTCATTATTTTCAAGTGAATCATGAGTATTGTTAGAAATGCAAGTGATTGTAAATACCATATGAGGTCTACAGGTTTCATTTTAACTTAATCAAAGTGGGACTTCTCCCACTTTAATGGTTTAATTGATTTGTCATACAGAGAATGCATGTATTCCATGATGTGGGGCCTAAGGCTCTCTTCTTTTTTCTTTTTTCTTTTTTTTTTTTTTGTTGTACCTATGATTTTGATGATTGCAAAACACATTTGAGTGATTAATTGGTTCATTTAAGTGTGTAGTTAAAATGTTAAAAGATTGCAAAGTAAGTAAACTTAGACTACACTAAAAATGGACCAAAAAGCTTGAAAATGTGCAGAGAGCCGACTATTGAAACTTTAAGCTGGCTGTGGAAGTGCAAAGAGCCGGCTCTGAAAGCTGCAGCCAACTCTGAAAGCTACAGTCGACTTTGAAAGCTGCAGTCGGCTCTATGGGAAAAACTTAAAAGTCAGTTGTTTGGTGCGCGTAGAGAAAAAACGCAAAGCTGACTCCAACTTTGCAGCCGGCTGTGAGGGTGCATTTAATGCACAACGGTCGATTTATTTGAAGATTATTTAATGTGTTTAAAGTTGGAATCCTAAAGCTGGCTTTATGATTTGCAACCGACTGTGTAAGAAAATAGAATGTGCAGGAAACCTGCAAAGCTGGCTATAGAATTTTTAAGCTGGCTCTACGGAGAAAACAGAATGCAGGAAACCTGCAAAGCCGGCTGCAGAAAAGTTAAGTCGACTGTAAAAGCCAGCTCTATAAGTGTAAGCCGACTGTGCTGACAATTTTGCAACTCGAATTAAGTGACCTATAGAGCATTAAATGACCCCCAACGACTAGTAACAGCTATTTTCGACCATGGGGTTATAAATATGGTTGGTAGAAGATCTAAAGCAAGTTTAGAGAGCATTGCATTGAATATCTTTATCTACCTACATGAGCTTTAACTTGAGTTTTTGATCTTTGAGAGATCTTTACTTGTAATCCTCTTCTTGTTCTATTTGTGAGTGATCTTGGGGGTGTGATTAATCCTTCAAGAGTGATCTATAGAGAGGATTCTTGGGGTTTATCTTATAAAGGGGTGAGATTTAAGAGAAACACCCTTCTTCTTATAAAAGGATTGAGTGGCTCCTTTACGCCACCCTTGATTTTGTTAGTGCAGAGTGTGGTGAAAATCCTTGGTGAGTGAAGCCAAGGTAGAAGACTAGGTTCCAAGTGGTTGGACCGAACGTCTATAAAATCATTGTGCAAGCTCTTCTTCCTTACTCTCTCTTTGATTTTTGTTTGGTGGTTGCAAAGAGGTGAAAAATTTTCAACTCCAATTCACCCCCCTCTTGAAGTACATTGAGTCAACATTTTTTTTCCCTTGTGTTTGAAAATTTTTAGTTCATTTTATTTATTTTTGTTGCTTCATTGTTCAAATAATGTTTCTCCACTACTTGGTTACAGTAGTTTTAATAATGAAAGACTAAATTATTACTGAACATTTCACTTTTAGTTTTAAATTCATTGCCTTACAAAACCTTCAAGGTTAAATCAAGTCCTCAACATATGATAGATGGCATGTATCTTTAGATTTGGTGCTACACACACATCAATATGTGTGTGCTAGATTTATTTAATCATAAAAGGCTAGCACAAAGTTATTTCCAATTTTCGATATAACTACCTTGAAATGCTCAAATTTCGTTACGTGTAAGTTGTGGTCTAGGATATGGGGATGCAAAGTACTTGTTTATGAGATGTGAGATGATTTATAGAGTTTGGAAGCATTGTTGCAAATGCTGAAATTTTGGTTTTGTATGTTCTGGTTCATATTTAGGGCTAAAGTATATAAACTTGAAAGATAATAAATACATGGATTGTTGTTCCTTGAGCATTCTTCTTCATCTCTGCATCATATCATTGTTGTGCTTCAGTTTTAAATCAAATAAAAATAATAATTAGTGAATTTATCAAAAAATATCAATAATAAAACATCACCCAAATATGTGTAAAAAATTTACTTACTTTAAGGCGATTTATGCCTCTATGGAGAGTCAATTGATCGATTCAGTAGAAATATCCATAGCATGTTATCACCAAGATACTATAGTTTTATAATAACACTCTATAAATCCATACTACTTATAGAATCACCTAACTCAAAAAACCTTTCTTGCCCAAGAATATTTAGAAGATAAAGTAAGGTAAGAAAATATGAGAATCTGGAGGAACACACTTTGTTAAGCTAAATGGTATATCCTATTTATAGGACTCATGGACATGTAATTTCTATTTGTAAATTAATAATAAGAGTATATTGAGCAATTATTATGAAATAATATGTCCTTAAATAGGTTAATAAACCTACAATAGCTAGTTTGACCAAGTTCTTAATATGACAATAAATTCAATTTATAAAATATATTATTTTATTTTTATTGAAATATTTAAATTCCAACAATTCCCCCGCTATTTTAATAAAAAGTAAACCTTTCTTTTGGGTAAAGATGGATTATTATGCATAATAAAGGTAGTTAAGCCCTAAACCTTTACTTTGTAAGTCAACAATTCTTAATCTAAAATCAATAGTGAATTAAGTTTTGAATTATGATCACATAGGAAGATTCAAGAATCCTACACACACATAATAATCTAAATGTTGAGTTTTTCATATGGCTATCACATTATGGCCTTGCACATGATATTGGTTTTCATGGGTGATTTAGAAAATTGCACATCCAATTTTTATAAAAACTACTTCACTTTGACACTCACAGAGGTGAAATTTGTCAAAGGTGCTCTCATAACTAAGACATCCCACTCATTGAGCTACAAATTTCATTAACACTGTAAAACTCAACCTTCAATTTGTTATGGGATAAATGCATCCTCACCTTAGGAATGGGGTTGGAAATTTTTTCCATTAAATATTAATATATCTTTCAACAATAACTTCTCTATGATTCATTTTTCCCATTCAAAACTCAATTCTTTGAATTCAAATTGGGTATCCTCATAGGAAGTTCTACATTATTGGGCTTGAATACCATTCCCCCTGATGAGCACTAAACCTTAGACTATAATCATAGTTTTTTCTCTAACCTTTCTCTTTACCAAAGGCCTAGTTGGAGGTAAAGTGGATAATGAAGAGATTTAACTCATTCTTTTCCTCACTTTTTCTTTTGACATCAACCCACTTGTTTACTAGTTCATAAACTTCATATTCATCTTTCCCAAATTTTCAATTCATGACACCATAATTTTTAATATCAAATCGAGCTAGTGAACCACTGTTTTCTTTCTATACATGTAGAGACATATATTTAAGAAATTTTTAACTCAAACACCATTGTACTTTGTTGTACAATATGAATGTCCATCATAACATATCCCTTCTATTCAAGTAAAGTTCATTATTCTTTTTCAATATATGCCATTATGCCATAATTGTATAACGGAGTGTATATCACATTTGCTTTGTTAAGCACCATTATATCTTATTGTATAGGAGGAATGCTAAGCAAAATTTCAATTAGGCACTATTGGTCTCGTCAGCAATAATAATATATAGGAACATCACAATCCTCCATATTGGGAGCATCTCAAATATGTGATCATCACATTTTTTTAAATAATTGAATTCATGAAGAAATTCCTTTTCTCACAAAATGTCATAAGAGCATTAACTCATCTCGCATTTTATCGCTACAAATGGCTCATTAGTTATGCAAACTTAAAAAATTTAACTTATGTTTCCAAAATATACCAACCCAAATTTTATATCCATTTTTTTATCAAAATAATTAGATGGACCAAATTGAGTAAATCTCTTTTCTAGCCCTTTCACTTAGATTCTCAAATTTTCACATGTTTCATCAAATAACTCAATAATATGGTCAATTAAATGCACATATTTATTCACCAATTTTTTAACCATTTAAAAAAATAATAATCATTAATTAATTATATATCAAGGATGCATATTAATGCTCATAAATTACACAATAAAAAAACACTTCTAATTTATAGAGGTTTTATACCCAAATTTTCATATTAAAATATATGCTTTACCCATGATCACATCTAATTCAAATAGCTAGTATCATAATAACTCCCACATTAATATGCATGCATTTATTAATTAATATAACATTAAGGTGAACCCTAAAGTCCATATACACTACTTAAAAAAAAAAAAAAAGGAAGAAACTATTTTAGAGCACATTTTGCATTGAAAAATACTCAAAATGCATTAGAAAATTCTTATTTTCTAGCATTGTGTGCTGAAAACTGTTGATGAAAAAAAAAATGGCAAATAGTTATTTTTCAACGCAAAAAAAAATGCACTGGAAAAACTTAGTAATATTTTTTCAATGCTTAGTGGTGGAAAATAATGGTTAACGACAAGCCCATAATGTGTTTGAAGTTACCATTATTAAATATTTTCTAGTGTTTAGCGCTAGAAAATATATAGTTGATACTTTAGAAGGAGAGATATCTAGAAAAAAAAATTTTAAATAATCATTTTTATATTATTATAATTATATCCAATTAGTAAATATTTACAAATACAAAATAATATTTAATATAAATAAATTTAACCATAAAATAATATTTATATATTAATCAAGATTATGAAAAAAAGATTATATATACAAAAATCTAAAACACACACTAAACAAACATACAACACATATAATAATTAAAATTAAAGAAATTAAAAACATAAAATGTTAATAATAAAACACCACTTTATAATTTATTAAAATTAATTATACATAAACAATTATATTTAACATATTTACTTTATAAACACAATCTTGTATAAAACTTTACATAATACATATAATTTAATCAATATTGACAAATGAATGAAATTAAATACATAAATATACCTCAATTCCATGTAATTCATAAAAAACCTTAAATATATATAAAAAAAATTTAATTAGTAATATATATGAGAGTTTATTGATAAAAAAATATATAAAGAAAATTGAAAATTAAACTACCAATAAATTGAAATGAATAGTACCTCTTATTTTAAGTAACATATTAAAGAAAGAGGAAAAGGAAGAGGAATGGAGAGAACAAGAGAAAAGCAAAAAGGAAAGTAGAAGAAATGAAGATGAAGAGGAAATGAAAAGAAGAGCAAAGGGAAGATTAAGATGAGAAAGTGAAGTATGAGTGGAATAAAGGAAGAGAGGAGGATATATGAGTGGAGTAAAGGAAGAAAGCAGAAAAAAGAAAATGAATTTGGATAAGAGATGAGAAAAATGAAAGAGAAGAAATAAGAAGATGGGAGAAAATGTTAAGGAAATGTTAGAGGTTTATATAGATAAATATTATTTTTCATGGCTTAGTTTTGGAAAATAATGTGAGAAGAATTTTGGAAATTTTATAAAGAAAAAAATGGCACTTGAATGGCTAAGTGCCAAAAAATAATATAAGTAGGATTTTGATTTTTGAAAGAAAAAATAGTTGAATATTTGGTTCCTAAACTTCTTAATAAACTTATTTTCCAACACTAAGTATGAGAAAATAACCTGAATCAATTAGATAGAAGTATTTTTCCACACCAATCACTAGAAAATAACCTAAATCAATTGAACAAGAGTATTTTCCAGTGCCAAACGCTGGAAAATAACCTGTCCAACTTGGGTAAGATTATTTTTTGATGCTTAGCACTAGAAAATAACGTACACCCCATTTCTACCATTTAACTTTGATAATTCTAAACATTTTCCAACGTTTTGCGTTAAAAAAAAAATGTGAAAAATATTTCTTTTTGTTTTTAAAGTTTTTTTTCTGTTAGTAACAACACAAAAAGCATTATTTTTTCAACACAAAGCGTTAGAAAACAAGAAGGCACCAAATCAAATTATGATGCTAAATTATTTTCTAGTGCTTGGCACTAGAAAATGAGTTTCAGTTTAAAATTATTTATAAATTTTTTATATTTTATACCAAACTTTAATTTCTTGCACCTAGCACTAGAAAATAGTGATGCACTAAAATTACTCTATCAAGTGTACTACTTGCTCCAAGTAATATAATAATGAATAGAGTGTTGAACCCACGAAAATTGTGTCTAATTAAGTATCAAAATAATTAACCTAAATTTATTTGAACAATAAAAAAGGAGAATAAGCTTTAATAAAGAATAAAAAAGGAGAATAAGCTTTAATAAAGAATAAAAAAGGAGAATAAGCTTTAATAAAGAATAAAAA